TTATTGTGTTTTTGGTGGTGGTTTCACAGAATCACAGAATTGTAGGGGTTGGAAGGGACCTCCAGAGATCATTGAGTCCAACCCCCCTGCCAAAGCAGGTTCCCTACGGCAGGTCGCACAGGTTTGTGGAAGTGCATATTTGCAAACTGTCAGAATATTAAGATTTAGATGCACAATTTAGTAAGTCTAAAATGTCATCAAATTTCATTTATTTCAGATGAAAAAAAAAAAAAGAATTAAGGAATGGTGAAGCAAAACTTCTAAGAAGTAGAGAAATAACAGCGTTATAACAACCATAAACTTCCTTTTGCTGGAAGGAATCGATTTGCAGATGTATTACCTTTGTGTGTATGTGTACATGGAGGTGATTAGAGATTGGTGACCACCTGACAAAAGCAAGAATGGATATTACTCCGAATTGTCTTTGTTCATAGAAATCCAGACTAGCATCACTGTACAAATGATTTTAGTTTTAAGGGTGAACAGGAAATAATCTTAGATGAAAGCTGTAGCAAGCATTTAGAGTCATGCAATTGAAAATACAGGCTACAAGGAGTGAAAAAAAAAAAACCCAAACCTTTCATCTTCAAATGTAGTACAAATAGTAGTTTCAATATATTACTTATTAGTAGTTCTCTAGTTCTTATCAATGTGTGATGACTAGGGTTTGGTCTGCAGTTGGTTATTCAGGCAATTCAGTGCTAGTATTACTGAAAATTATAACTGAACTTTCCTACGAGGCCATTAAGGAATTATTTTAATTTCAGTTGATCAATGATATGCTCCTTACAAACATAAATGCCACTTAAACCATTACTTCTTGTAGGAATGAGCTTTTTTCTAGTAGCCAGAGCTTGGAGTTCATGTGGAAACATGAAAGCATTCAAATATGTGAAAAAATTCTGAAAGAAGAGTGCACACACAGGGAGGCTAGATCAAACATGAGTAGCTTTGGAATTACTTAACAGCATTGTTATGCAACAGATGAAAGTAAAAAAATTCCCCAGTGTTCAAAATGTGTAATTTTTTAATTTTTTTTTTTTTTTTTTTTTTTTTTTTTTTCTGTATCTCCTCATGATGGCCTCAAGTTGCATCAGGGGAGGTTCAGTTTGGATATTTGGAAGTATTTCTTCTCAGAAAGAGCAGTGGATGCATTGGCACAGGCTGCCTAGGAGGTGGTTGAATCACTGCTCCTAGAGGTGTTCCAGAACTGTGGAGATGTGGCACTGAGGGACATAGTCAGTGGGCATGATGGAATGGTTTGTGGTTGGACTTGAGAATCTTAGAGGTCTTCTCTAGCCTTATGGATTCTGTCATTCTATACTTCTTATGCTGATTTGTTCAATACCATACCATTATTGTTACAGAAACTCTTTTGTTATAGAATCGTTATTGTTGGAAAAAACCACGAAGTCCAACAGCTCATTGTCCCCATGCCCACTAACCATGTTCCCAAGTGTTCCCAGGTGCCACAGTGATGCTATGGTTGTAGTCACAACTGTAGTCATGGCTATGATTGTAGTCATGGCTAAGAGTTCTGCAGAAAACCTTCATACTACTTCATTAGTGCAAAACAAACACATTAACAGAGAAAGTCAGAGGTGATACATGGCTTCAGAGTTCATCAAAGTCAAAACTGGGGTAGCAGTAGTGCACGTAGAAGCAGTTGCCTAAAATTGTTGGTGTTGTCATCTGGTGAATGTTAGCTGGCAAAGTACAGATAGGAGACAGTGAATTTGCATTTTAGTTTTGCAGTGGTATACATATGCAGTGGTGTTATATGGGGCACAAGTACAGGAAATGTTGTGATGTGAGGAATTGCTTATGTGGTACAGAGGACATTTTTTTATAAGGCTGTACACAACACTTCTTGACTACTCGAGAAACCTTTGCTCCTGTCACTAGAAGGATGATTGGTGACTAATTCTCCCATGTGCTTGGGGAATTATTGGAACAGTGTGCTTCTAAGCAGTTGTATTTGGTCCCATACCACCTAACACAAAACCCTTGCTAAAAACTCAGACTATTTTCATAGGTTGCTTTTCACATCCTTGAGTTGAGCAGAAATTCTAGAGGAAGAAAGTAAATGTAGAACTGTGGTGTATAAGGTCATATCTGAATATTTTCAGTCAGTAGAGTGCGGGAAACTCAATTTATCTGTCTTAGAAAGATGAAGAGCTGAGTCAATCCTGCTGGGATTAAAGCTCTCACATTGTTTCATGCTGTATAAAACATTTTTTCATCATCTTGAAATATAAAGCTAATATCCGAAGCAAAAATGGGTACCAGTACATTGTGATATCAGTTAAATCGAGGTATTTGATTTTAGTTGGTCACTGCCTTCTGATTTTCCCTCTAAAGGGCTCAGTGAACAGCTTTTGCTTATCAGGAAATGGAAAGCAGTTTTCGTCTTGGCAATTGGCCCTGGCACTCTTGCAGAATACAGTCCAGGGTTTTTCTGCTGGAGTGGTTTTCCTGTTGTTGCTTTTGTAAATGGTTTTTATAGGATGTCCATAATAGAAAAATGTTGCAAGGATGAGCAGGAGCTTGGCATGGTTTGATTGGTGCTACTGTCACAGAGTTACCTCTACATCTATCTGTGTCCATGACAGGGGGGGCAGCAGGCCTGCTGGCCTGAGAAGGGGAGGGAGTGTCAACTGGTTTATGGGCTGGTTCGGCCCAGTTTTATGACTAATAGGGCAGGGGACCCACAGACCCACACCTGGGAAAAAGGGAAGGGTAGGAATATGAGAGATGGGCCTAAGAACAGTGGCAATGATCTGAGGAGGAAAGTTAATTTACCGAAAATTATATTGGAATGCAGGATAACACAATGTAATACAATGTATAGTTGGAACTGAGGCTAATAAATAAAATGAGAGAGTATCCAAAACCGAAGGCCTTAGTCTGAATTGAAAGCCAAATGGCTGGGGAGCACACCCACACAATGCCAGACAGGGAGAAACAGAGAGAGTCCTGTGGCTTGCAAGTTTTATCTTTCCCTCTGTACACAGTCTTTTGGGGTATATGTAGTTCTCTTCTCTTCTGAGAACCAAGTACCCAGAAATTTGTCAGTCCATGGAACTGAAGTATTAACTCTTTAATTCCTCGTGCTTTACATGATGTTATGATGTGGAATACCGATAACAAAAATAACAAAAAGACCATAGCATTCATGTTATCAATGGAAGACAGAGCCAAATATATACATCCAACTATTGCTGTCAGACCTCAGATGAAATGTTTGAAGTGAAATTGATAATTTTCTGAAGGTGCTTTTCTGTGCTTCAGCTTGTTCTGTCTCCACACTTTCAAAGATCATCAGTCACAGTAAACTGTCTTAAATTGATGATGTCTCTACTGTATACTTTGTTTATCCATGCTAGGGATCCTGACACTTTTTTTAAGAGGTAATACAGGTGTTACAGATTACGAAAGATCAGTATCAGAATATTAAACCACTCCTCTGTGTGGCTAGAGGCCAAGATAACTTGTCTTTCAAGAAAAGACATCTGAAAATTTGTGTACTTTTCATAGGTGTTTTAAGTTTATCCTTCTGTAGATCAACTACAGCTTATACCAGATAATAGTTGAACATGTACAGATTTCATATGATGATAAATCCCTTTAAAATAGATGCAGGTATAATTTGTTAGGTATAATGATGTCTATAAATGGCAGTGATTGCATCATGAGGTGCTTATTATTTATTTTGAATAAGGAGAATATATATTAAAAAACACAATATGAAGCTGTATGATGACTTTAAAAATATGAGTTGGCAGCAAAGGAAGGAATGAGTACTGCAACTGCAGAAGTGTTTCTATTGAATGCTTAGTTTGTGCTTTGATTTTTAAGTCTTTTAACAGGAAGATGGAAATTAGTTACCAAAAAAACCTCATCGCACTTTTCAGCCATTATGCACTGATATTGTAGCGGGAAGCTGATGAAGACAGGTAAAGAGACCTGAATATTACTGAGGTGCAAGGTAGTAATATCATAAGACATGAAAATTAAGGACTGTTGGCATCATGCTTTAAGTAATTTCCTAGGGAGCATGTGTACGTCCAACTGTATGGGGAAAAAAGAACAGGCAGCAGGTTTCTGCACCTGGATTTAGAAATCCGCCGAAACTGCTGGTGCAAATTTAGTAAAGAATTAAATACCATCATAACTTGGCTTAATGATATGATTAAATGCAAACACTGCAGTGAACAGTTTGGGCTGTAAGCTTTTCAAGTTTTTAAAATACATTAAGCTACCAGTACTGAAATGTCTTCCTGCCAAATATTTAATTTCTGAACAGTGAAGATGGTTACACCCCAGGGAAATCGTACTCTTGTCTGTTAATTTTGGGATGAGTATAGATAGCAGAAATAACAACTGGACTATAAAAAAATTATGCTATCAAGGATTATGTATTTTTTTCTCCTGAAAATGGGAAGAAACATATTGGAAACTTTTACATGAATAAGAACACCAAGAGGTCAAAATACAGCTTGCTGGCCTTTATAAAAAAAAAAATTTATCACATGCAGTACATTAAGTTGTGAATTTTAATGGCCAATTTCCATGCATTTCTTCACCTTGGCTAAGTGTTGACATCCTTCACCTTCATACTCAATTGTTACAATGATTTACTGAAAAATGATATTGAGCTATGCTCTTGACAACAGGTGAGGATTAGGGTGTTTTTTCTTACCTTTTTTGCTTAGTACATTCAGTCTAAATTGTTGTGATTGCTGGTGTGGTTTAGAGGTTTTCTCTGTGCTTTCCACTTCCTGCAAAAGCATGTTTTAATGCAAATTTGTAGGCGTTCAGAATTTTGTAAGAGAGGATAGTTGCACCATGATGCAACTACCATAATATTTTATTATGTCTTTTCCAGTGACTTGCAGGTGTTATCTATGTGTAATATAAAACTTGGTGATAACATAGGTAAAGTATTCAAATGATCCTTTAAAGTGTCACTAAGTCTCTAATAAAACTTCTTTCCTCAGAACAAAAGCCTCAAAAACAAGCTGCTGTCAGGAAACAAGCTTTGTGGTATTCGTGCAGAAGAGGTAAGGAAGGTTTCTCTCTGTTTCAAAGTTAACATACCCAGAAGAATGTCATGTCAGTCTTTTGCACTGAGATTCTGCATAGATTGTATATTATGCATGCATGATCATTGCATCATAAAGGTTTGAAAAGACCTCTACAATCATCAAGTTCAACCATCAAGCCATCACCACTATGATGTTTATAAACAATTCAACCTCATTTCCATGACTACACTATGGGCAACTCAAATATGTTAGCAAGCTGCAATCTCAAGTTTTAGACTAATAAAGTTTGGGAATGGTTATTTCACATATATAAAGCTCTTTAAGTATACATTTTGCTCTATAATGTATGTTAAACTGATTTTATTTCCCTATTCTTCATGCCTAGAATAAGATAGGAGTCATTAAATGACTTTTTGAAATACCTCGTAGAAACACAAAAGATTTATTGTTATTGATCCTTATAACATTTCATTATTTCAAGGGAAGTATCATATTAGAAAATATCTCCTCTACAGAAACACTAGCAAAAATAGCCAATGATATATAAAAAAAAAACACCCTGTTTTCCCTAAGTGCCCTAGTAACTGCATTCACAGGAGCAGTCCTTTTAGCTATTTACCTTTTTGTGAGAGTGGTTATTTCTACATATGAATCTTAACTTTTTTACATGACTTAGTCATGGATTTCATCTGCAGAAATAACTTCTGTGAAGTCCATTTCATGTTGCCAGAATTGAACAGAAGCATAAAACTTCTTTGCTAAAATTATCACAGTTAAGGTGGGCCGTGTTTTCTTCAAAGACTCTACTTTTGTACCTAGACAGCCAAATTTATGAGGTCCAAGCAGTGATTTCCAGTTGTACTGGCTAATTAGCCTAGATGAAGTTCTGCAACTACTGCTTCAGATATATCCTCAGCAGTTGGTAACAGTGGGTATTTTTTTTTGCTAGCTTTTCAGAATCTCTTACCTTCCTCTGTCATCACTGTTCCTTTCAAACATGCCAGAGTATTTGAGTACAAGTATAAATTCTCCCCTTGTTTACTGCTAAAAGAATTGGCAATGTTCAACACAGCTTGCTGTTTACCCTTCCTATTCGAGTTTGTTTTTCCTATTTGCATTAACTTCTAGAATATTAGGTAATTAACTTTTAGATATTTTCACAGATGATTTACTATTTACAACATGTCTTTTAGCCTAAAGGTGAGGTCTGAAATTAAACGAAATTTATTGTTGCATGAGAACCATTGCTGTCTGAGGATTTTAGGAAACCAAACCCTCAGCTCACCAGTATTCAAGGCAGCAGATAAGCGAGTGTATTTTAAAACTTAAAAAAATTTTAGACTTGATGAGTCATCCTGACAAATTTATGGATTTAAAGTGGCTTAGTGCCGCTAGAATAAGTAAAAATGCTACTACGGGACTTTTTTCTTTTTTTTTTTTTTTTTTTTTTTTTTTTTTTTTTTTTGTCATTTTGCCAGATTTAGGTTATATAGGTCAGAGAAATGCAGTTCTTTTTTTGCTCTTTAAGTTCAATACTTCCAGCATAATAACTTGTGAAATCAATACTCTTTTAATAACGAGATCAAACATCTTTCATGGATAGAATTGCCTACCAGGAAGCTCATGCTTCGTTCCTCTCTCCCAAAGTGTGTGTAGACAATTTCATTCTGCTCTGAAGATTGTTTTGAAGGTGATGCCTCCAGTTATGTTTTCATGTTCTCAGAACTTGCTGTTTTAAAAATAAATATTTGAAAAGAATCCAAAATCCACTGATTGCATTATCCTCACTTTCAGTCAAAAAAGATCCAAGCCCAGCTGAAAGAACTTCGTTACGGCAAAAAAGATTTCATTTTCAAGGTGAGTCTTCTTTCAACATAGTTTTGCTAAGTTATTAGAGTTGCTGTAATGTTGAAGTCATCTGTGAGTATGATAACTGCATTTGTTGCTATATTTTTAAAGAATCATTTACTTCTGTTGATACCAAGAAGAGCTGACACCACAATAGATGAGAATAGTATCATAATGCTAATTCAGACATGCTATTTTCTGTTGGGTTTTCTTTTTCATTTGCAAACCACTCTAATAGGAAAAGTGTTTCTTATTAAATTGCTTTCTGGGTCAAAGAAGAGAAGCTTCAAAGCCTAAATTTGTATGCAGTATATTTCAAAATATATAGAAATAGTGTAAAATAGTTTATGAATATCTGTTTGCATGCTGAGATAAAGCAACATTCCAGTTCCTCACTGGAAACCAAAATATATTACCCTATTCCATAGATTCTGTGATGTATTTGATACTTTACAGGTGGATCTTGGCTGCTAATTGAGTAGTGCTTTCATTACCTGCATAAATGGTGGGGATAAGTAGTCATCCCGCAAGTGCATAGAGCTAGACTTATTTAAAAGGTAACTGAACTCAGTGTGAGGTCCATATTTCTTCTGAAAGGCACAGGATAGAATATTAGAACCACCAGCTACAAAATGCTCCCCAGGTTAGTCAGGGTGAATTCTGCTCTGAATGCTCTTACTTGAAAAACAGTAAAAATGTTTACATTACCTTTTGGGGAGACAATGAGCTAATTGAGTTAAAAACTCTTCAAGAAGTTTAGATAAATATAGTAAACTGGGAATAGGATTCAGAAGTTCCATCTCCTGAGAAGTTCATATGCAAATATCTAAAATATCTCTTCACTCTTCAGTTTTGTTCTGTGATAGATTTCTGATTTGCTCATTTGTTATATTTTCTACATGTAGTCAGAAATATGTTTGTTAGACTTCTTCCTGACTAAAGGAAATTTAATTTACCGGGGGCGGGGGGAATTTATGGAATTTATTTTGAAGATATTTGTGAGAACAAGAGGGTTTTTTTGTTTGTTTGTTTGTTTTAATAATCAACACTGAGAACTGTGTTTTTAATAATCAACCTTAATGAGAACCTTCTTTAAGAACCTTCTTATGTTTTGTTAACTGTTGGCAATAAGACTTCTAGTTAGAGCTTTGGGGAGTAAGTGGGAAAGGAAGAGGAAGAGCTGGGAGAAAGACGGCTCTTTCTTATACTCCAATGAATTGGTAGATTATGTCTGGTTGTAGCATTGTGAGACAGTAACTTACAAAGTGGTAGTAAATACAATATGAATTCCTCATTTTTTGCATGTATTTACTCTTACTATGTTTTCAAAGTGCATTGTAGTGTATTGGATTATGTGACATGTCTATACATATGTATCTTGTGTCTTTTCCTATGTATCCATACGTATGATATAATGCCATACGTCAGAAGGAGACACAACAGTTTAGGTGATGTGCTCAAGACTATATTTGTTGTCAGTGTATCTGTTGTCATTAGAATCTGAGTTCTGAACTCTTTCTCAGCATTCAGTCCCTTAAAACATGTAGAGTGGTAACACTGAAAAACTGACAGGACTGGAAATCTACTTTGTGTTATAACAAGCAAAATAAGGAAGAATTAATGTTAAATTTTCAGTCATCTTTTAAAATGTATAGTTACTTTTGCAAGTGGGAACCTGATAGTTTTAAATGAGTCCATTCTTAATTACAGTAGTTATCCTAAATCCTCGATTCAGTTAAAGTACTCTTTAAGTTTAAACGATTTGCTAAATTGAAATCTACATTTGTTTTAGTCACTCATAACCACTTGTTTCCAAATTTAGTTCTTCTCCAATCCCTGTTTTCCCATCATTTGATTATATTTTCCTTGAAGTCACATTTTTACTTAATTAGAAAGGATCTACAGATTTTTTTGTTGTTGCTCCTGAAACACAATTGTATGAATGTTTGATATGAATGTCAGATAAAGAAAAATAAATCCAGCATTGATTTTTGATATCAGTTTGTGTAAGTCTCTTGTACTCCTGAAAACTTTGTTCTTCTCAATGTACAAGATGCAAGTGGTTCACTTCAGTATTTGTTTTCTGCTTTGTGATGAATTCCTAAGGATTCTGCTTAAAAGTTTCAGAAACAGGTATTTCATCTGCCATTTAATCTGTTTTTCCTTCTGTAATTCTAAGTCCTGGAACAAAATATATAGTTAACCACTCATTTATGAGGACAGCCGAATCAGTGCATCATCAACTTACTGGTGACTTGACCACCTCCCTGGGTGGGAGGCTAGGGAGGCCTTTGAACATTAACTCTTCTTCTGTAGTCTGCAGCACTATTTATCGTGTAAAACATTTGTCAGTCTGTGGCTGCTGCTACATCACTTTTTATTCCCTTTATGCCCAAAATTTCATGATTGCTATGCCTGTGTTATTGCCATCTACTCAATAGCACATGGGTAGCTGCAGTACACTGGTGATTCTGCAATGGATTATTCCTCTGAGAGAAAGATGGCCATCTCACTGCTCAGTTGTTGCAATGGTTTTCAAGGCACCAGGCTCAGCTTCAGCTCCCCACTTCCCAGCTCTGCAGATCCCTCTTTGAAGTGACTAAGATAGTGTTGAGTAAGGTTATTACTGACATAGACATCATCTGGTTTCAGTTTTAATGCTGAAGGCAAAGAGACAGGGCATGCTTCTCAGATACAGATGTTCTCAGGATCAATCCAGTTGACTTTTAAGGATGGATTCAGACCATATTTCTGCCATCTGACAGACACCAAGTTTGGCTGTGCAACACTGGCCTACATTCAGAAGTTTATCTTCCTAACCAATCATGGGCACTTAATTAAAAATACCACAGCTTTAATTCTGAAGATAAAGCTGGGAGAGATAGGAATCAATGGCTCCAGCCTAGCTCTGTGGACACATTTGAGTACTGGGTGCTGCTCAGCACCCAGGCAGGTTTTAAAGAGGAGGGGAGCAGTGGCTAAGCAGAGGCAGACTGTGTGAGACCCGTCTGTTTCTCCTAATCTGCTCTGTTCCATCGTTTCCCTGCAAGGAGCAGAAGTTAGAAGGCCATGCAAGTTTTCTCCTGCTTTGGTCTACTAGTCTTAAAAATAAGAAATGTCTTCATATATCTCTCTTGAATGTGCCTTACTGAAATGGAAATCAGCATGTTACCATACTATTTCACATAGACTTAGGAAGTAATTTATTTTCCTTTCTCTTCATAACTATATTTTGCAGTTATTATCCTGCATATTAAAATAATATATGTTGGGATTGGGCTTATGTTTTTTTTTCTCTAGTTCTGCTTCTCAATATTAGTTCTCACACCATTAAGGATGCGCATTATTCTCATCTGAACGTGTTTCCTTTGGTCTGTGCCCATTTGCAATGCCCTGAAGTGGCCACAGAAGTCTAACTCAGTGTGGGTCATTTCACCCACACTGAGCAGAGTAAAAACATTTTTGTACTCTGTACCCACAGTGTTCTCTGCTTTACAAAGACATGACACATTCTGTGGTGTTGTCATCTTGAGTCATCTATCCCTGCCATTTTATATTCTGTGTTTGTTTCAGTGATTATTCCTGTCGGTATTTAATATCTTGCACTCTTCTTTAGGGAATATCATCCTATTTTCTCCAGTTTGTCAAGATAAATATAGGAAAAAAAACATCATCTGTGACACAAAGAGGTTTGATGTCACCAGAGCATTTGATGAGTAAATGTTTACTTCATTGTTCTGTTCATGAATGATATGCAGCAAATAAAACTGTCCTCTAGAGAGGTGGCTTGATTACTCTTCCCAGTATTTTTCCAAAAATGAATGTTATGATAACAGATCTGTAAGTCATGATCTCTTACTTCTTTTTCTCTTTCTGAACATGACCATCACATTTGTTCTTTTTCAGTCTTCAGATTTTTCATCTATTTGCTGAGCATGTGAAGGATTAGGGCCCTAAAGCCTGGTACCACTATATAAAGCAGTAAAAGCAATGATGTACAAACTGAACGAAGGAGAAATCACAAAGTGAAAAGTTTTTATCAGTCTGTAATTACACAGTAGTATTAGATGAAAAAATAATCTTTTGCCTAAAACAATACCTAAAAAATTTGGAAAGAAAGGCTTAAGTAATAGGGTGTGAAAGGGATCCTGTGAAATCTACCCCAACCTTGAGACATGACCTGAGTGATAGTATTTTGAGTCATTACTTTGAACTATGTTTTGTGCTCTTGTAGTAAAGATCTTTGAGCAAGAGAAGGAGTCATGACTACGAGTGTTGCATGATGCTCTTCTTTATCTTTAGCTCAGGAATGATTGCCTTTGTTTTTTTATTGCTTAATATTTGTGAGTAATAGGTAAGCCATTTAGTGGTTGTACATGCAGATCAGGTTCTCTGTAAGCCTGGAAATACGGAGTGGTTTGCATTTCATGCTCTGGTTCCATATGTGTGCATCAGTTTATGGAATGCCAGACAGTAAGATTGATGACATTCTACTTTCAAAGCATTTGCAGTACAAGGTAATTACACAATCAGTGAAGTTAAATGTTTAATAGCTTAATGAGTATTTAATGCTATTCCACAGAAGTTGTTGTGTCTGGTGATGTATGACAACCGGGATGGTGTTACTGAGGAGAGCTAAATTTTCTTGTTGAAATGTGATAATTTGTAGTTACTGTTTTCATGATTTGCTAGAATATAGGTGGATTTTTTTTCAAGGACTATCTCTATTTGCCAAAAGTAATCGTAATGGCAGGAAGAAAATTGTAGGTATATTCCTAAAAGCAATTGCATTGATGGCTGAGAAAGTATATAGTAGATTTTATGTCTGAAGCTGTTATCACATGAAGGTTGGTCTATTTATATAGTGACTTCTGGAAATTACAGAATTCAGCTTTTGTTGTCTAGATATATTAGGATTGAGCATGAATTTTGCGACCAGGTTGTTCTTCTGTTTTGCCACTTAGATGACTGATGTGTTGGGCTGTGAAGAGCTCTATAGGATAACATGT